GTAGAGATGGGGTTTTACCCTTTGGTCAGGCTCGTCTCAAACTCCTAACCCCAAGTGATCTGCCTACCTCAGCCTCCCAAAGTGCTGGGACTACAGGCGTGAGCCACCATGCGTGGCCTGATGGCTGTAATTTTTTATTTTTGTGAAACTTACCTGCTTAGCTTTTAAAGGAATCAAAAATTGTTTATTCTGGGAGAACCTCTTTGAATGACAGATACAGTCATGGCAAAGATACTTACAGGGACATAAATACTATACTGAGAAGAGCAGCAATTCTCAAAAGTATGGTCTAGGGAACCCTTTTGGGGGTCTGTGAGGCCAACAGTCTTTTGTTTTGTTTTTTGTTTTGTTTTTGTTGTGTTTTGTTTTTGAGACAATGTTTTGCTCTTACCCAGGCTGGAGTGCAATGGTGCAATCTCAGCTCACAGCAACCTCCGCCTCCCAGGTTCAAGCAATTCTCCTGCCTCAGCCTCCCAAGAAGCTGGGATTATAGGCATGTGCCAACATGCCCAGCTAATTTTTATATTTTTAGTGGAGGTGGGGTTTCACCATGTTGGCCAGCCTGGTCTCGAACTCTTGACCTCAGGTGATCCGCCGTTCCCAAGTGCTGGGATTACAGGCGTGAGCCACCATGCCCGGCCCACACTATTTTCAAAATAGTCTAAGATGTTACTTGTTTTTTCCTCCTCATGAGTGTACAGTTAGTCTGCCCAAGGCTACATGGCGTGTGATGAAGTCCTCACCTTGATGGCCAGTGAAGTGTGTATATATCTGTTCTAAAGATGACTCTGTTTTCATTTCTAATATGGTAGATATCAATTATATATATATATATATATATATATATATATACACATATATATATATATACACACACACATGTAGTTAATATGGGTTGTAGCTCATATTAACAAAAGCTTTTTAGGACCTCAATTTTAAGAGTGTGAAGGGGTCCCGAGGCCAAAAAATCTGAGGCTCACTGGAGTAGAATTGTTAACATTGGTCATTTATTAGTTTTAGTAACTGGTGACCTCTCTCTTTTCAAATTCTTATGTCTCTTATGGGGCTTGAACTTATTATCTGTCACCCCCAATAACTTCAGACATAAACGCAGTTTCATTTATTAGAATACAGAATTAATATAATTATTAATATAGTAATAATATAAATATAATTATTCTGGGTTGAGGAAGCCATTAGACATTTTCAGGATAAAATAAAAATATATAGCCAGGCACAGTGGCTTACACCTGTAATCCCAGCACTTTGGGAAGCCGAAGTGGGCGGATCATTTGAGGTCAGGAGTTCAAAACCAGCCTGACCCACATGGTGAAACCTCGTCTCTACTAAAAATATAAAAATTAGCCAGGCATGGTGATGGGCACCTGTAATCCCAGCTACTTGGGAGGCTGTGGCAGGAGACTTGTTTGAGCTTGGGAGGCGGAGGCCGCAGTGAGCTGAGATCACACCACTGTACTTCAGCCTGGGCAACAGAGCGAGACTCCATCTCAAATGTGTGTGTGTGTGTGTGCATGTGTGTCTATATATAAATTCTAGAATGAGCCCAGAAAGTGAGCAAGCTGCTTTCTTCAAGGCACCAAGACCAAACAATATAGTAGGAAGGGAAATCATTGTTGATACTTTTTAAAGAAGATCTTAATGAAACCATTTGACTTGAGGGAAATGGGGAAAATGAAAGGTTCTCGATATTTAAAGTCTATTCATTAGGGTTATATTTAATCAGATCAAAGGCAGTACCACTGGGTGTGCTTTTAAATTCAGATCATTTTCTATAGACCACATTTCAGAATAGCTGTGTTTTTGTTTTTGTTTTTGTTTTAAAATTGAGACAGTCTCACTCTGTTGCCCAGGCTGGAGTGCAGTGGTGCGATCTTGGCTCACTGCAGCCTCTGCCTCCTGGGTTCAAGCGATTCTCCTGCCTCAGCCTCCTGAGTAGCTGGGACTACAGGTGCGTGCCACCACACCCCGCTAATTTTTGTATTTTTAGTAGAAACGGGGTTTCAGCATGATGGTCAGGCTGGTCTCTTAACTCCTGACCTTGTGAACCGCCTGCCTCAGCCTCCCAAAGTGCTGGGATTATAGGCATGAACCACTGTGCCCAGCCTACAGCTGTGGTTTTTCTGTAGTAAAGTACCATTCTTACAATCTATTCTATCCCCAAGTGCAGTTATTCAGTTACTGAAATTAGAGGTGATAAAGAAGTAGGCAGAGGAGCACATCTCCCATAATGAAAGCTTCCTTTCTTCCTTGAGCGACCAAGGCAGGAAGACTGCAGCAAGGGACACTTTCCCTGTCACACTCATGCTTCAGGAGGTCCCATTCTGTTTGGGGTTCTCTGTGTTCATACCTGGTGTGGTGTGAACAAGTGACCCTATGACTGTTAGGGATTGGTGGTTAAGTGGCATCAGGCCAAAGAACAAGTGAGCAGGATCGTCTGCTCGGCAGGAAAACTCATCTTGACTACAGGAAAAGACCACTTCCAGAATGTGAGTCTTCTTTGATGTAGATAAATACATTGGATTTTAACATAGGTTCTATTTGGAGAACTGTTTAATATTTTAGAGGAAAATACAGATTTTGGCCAGGCACGGTGGCTCACACCTGTAATCCCAGCACTTTGGGAGGCTGAGGCAGGCAAATCACTTGAGGTCAGGAGTTCAAGACCAGCCTGGCCAACATGGGTGAAACCCCATCTCTACTAAAAATGCAGAAATTAGCCAGTGTGGTTGTGGGCACCTATAATCCCAGCTACTTGGGAAGCTGAGGTGGGAGAATCGCTTGAACCTGGGAGGCGGAGTTTGCAGTGAGCCGAGATCATACAACTGCACTCCAGCCTGGGTGACAGAGCAGGACTCTGACTCTCTCTATATATATGTATAACTTTTGTCATCTCTGTGTAGAAATAAAGGCAAGAGATAACTGTGAGGAGGCAGACACTCCCCATTTTCATACCGTTATGATACAGAACATAATGTCATTTTGACTGTACATAGGAGGTCATTTAAACAAAAAATGATTGAAGAAATATTAGTAATGATTTTACAAGTTGTTGTTTTGTTTTGTTTTAGGTGAGAAACCTTTTGAATGTAACATTTGTGGGAAACATTTCTCTCAGGTGGGAATACTCTTATTTATTGTTAATAATTGGAAACCTGAAACAGTGTTATTTTATTGGAAATGAGACATACTTTTGTACTTGTGAGAGAAGCCTCTGATTATATCTGTAACTTAAAGCCTTCAGAATAAATCAGGAAAAAATTTTTTCAAGAAAACAGATTTCTAGTTCTTTGAGAGAAAAATAGCACTTTTCACATGTGAATTCTTACAGTACTTTTTTCCCTCACTAAGGATGAGTCCAAACTTAGTATATGTCTTCCGTTTCACGAATGAAGGTCAGTCAACAACCTTGAGCTTGGTGTACCTGGAGGCTGCACATTGTGCTGGCATAGGCCAAAGACAAGTAATCTCCTTATTCTTGTTGGGACTGTAGATTGTGGGATGTTGGAAAAAAGATGAAACAAGTTTTGTTCCCTGTTTCGACTGCTGCCTTTAGCTGACCTCTTAAGGTCATTTGGACACGTAGTCCTTTACTCCTTCAGGAAGCGTTCGTTATACCCTCCCATGGGCCAGGTACTGCGCTGGGCATGGGACACAAAGAAACCTCGAGACCTAATGTTTTATAGAAAATGGCTTGTGGGAACCTACTTTCTCTCTGAAACAGAAGGTAACTATTGTGCGGCGCCCGGGGCTTCCAGAGGTAAATCACATAGAAGCTGCTCCAGGGCGTGAGGGCGCAGCTCTTCAGGGCACGGCCACCAGCACGACTGTCTCGCACAGAGCATGGTAGATCCTGCGGCAGCAGTGCGTGCCTCGGGAGCTGAGACACTGTGGAAATGGCAGGCACCGTGTTTTCTGGCATTCCCCCGAGAGCTGGCTCTTCCAGTTTTTCCCTTCCTCTGTTGAGGGTGTCAGTTCCTTTTCTCACACACCCAAACCTGCCACCTTAATGACTCTTCACCCTCTCACTCTTTGACCCCCTGCCTGCTGGGATTCAGCAAGTCGTTGTGTCTCCCTTCTTGTACTCGGTTGGGTTGTATCCCCCTGGACGGTTAGTTTTTCTGGGCTGGGCCTGGGGCTGTGTCTTCTTTCCCATCCAGGAGAACACCCAGAGCCAGCAGGTGTTCAGGAAGGATTTGACGAGCTGCGCTGAGTGCTCATCAGTCCAGCTGCCATTCTTGATGAGCCACCCCCACCCCCATTCTTCCTGCCAGTCTGGCCTGGGGTTCAGAGCTCAGCCTCTGGGGCTGCAAAGTCTAGAATTGAGCTCTGCCTCTGTCGGGACTTAACTACACTGTGACTTTGGGCAAGCTTACCGTTTGGCCCTTCAGTTTCCTTATCTGTGAAACACTGATAAGAAGATCACTTACTCCCATAGAGTGTGAGGAGTAATGAGTTAATAAAGGCAAGTCCTTAGAGCAGTCCCTGGCACCCAGTAAGCCCTCAGGAAACGCCAGCATTCGCCTGTTGCCATCCACTTTCTTCTGTCCTGTCTGTCCTCACGACCCTCAGATGCCAATCTTTCTGAGGCACCTCCCTGCCCCCACCATTTTCATCTCAGCAGTTTTAGTTTGATGGCAAAATCATGAGACTCAGACTAATAACCATTAATGATTAGCAGTCGCAACTTCTCTGGGACTTATTTTTCTAATTTTTAAAATAAGGATACTACTACTTCACGGAACTGTTGGGAAGATGAAATGAAAAACTAGGGCTGAAAGCCTTTTATACATTTAAATTATGATGAGAGTAGCAGTTCCATCATTTTCATGCCTTCTCTGACTCTACATCGCTGACCCTATAAATTAAAACCAGATATTCAGGCAGGCTGCAGTCCGCCTCCACTCCTTTCTCCTGGCCCGGATGCCTGGTGCTCACATCAGAGATTCTGATTCTGTGATTTGGAGTGGGGCTCAGGTGTTGGTATTTTTAAAAATTCAGCAATTTTGATATGCAGCCAAGGTTGAGAACTACTACTGTAGCCCTTGACCTGTACGAACTCTCTTAAATCCTACCACAGGTAGCCCTTGCTTGATCCAGAAATCCTTCCCTTCTATATTTGTCTGTGTACTTTTGTTAGGTTTCTATGACTGTAGAGTCATACGTAGTGATGGTATTCAGATGTATATTACTGCTTTATGTTCATAGTAAGTATGGATTTTGGTGAACAAGGAACTGTTTTAATGTTTGTTGCAAGCCTACAGTGTCTATGTGCTGTCCATGAGCTCTGCCATATGCTGGGAGGGGGGTACAAAAATGGCCATGGCCTCTAGGAGATTGGTTTATTTTTTTTTAGACAGAATCTTGCTCTGTCATCCAGGCTGGAGTGCAGTGGCACGATTGTGGCTCACTGCAACCTCCGTCTCCTGGGTTCAAGTGATTCTTCTGCCTCAGCCTCCTGAGTAGCACGGATTACAGGCATGCAACACCATGCCTGACTAATTTTTGTATTTTTAGTAGAGACAGGGTTTCACCATATTGGCCAGGCTGGCCTCAAACTCGTGACCTCGTGATCCACCCACCTCGGTTCCCAAAGTTCTGGGATTACAGGCATGAGCCACTGCGCCCAGCCCAAGTGCTTATTGTTTAGAGGAAGAAACAGACATGTAAGTGATCAAGTACAGTGAAATGTTGGAAATGCTGACATATCTACAGGAACAATGTGGGCAAAGAAAAGACAGTAGTCCTTTCTACCTGAAAGGTGTGTTTGGGACAGCATGAGGGCATGAAGTGTTTGAGAGGTTGCTTAGGTGAGCCCTGCAGACAAGCAGGCACTGGGCGAGACTGTGTCCCTGGCATGCTGGAGCAAGAAAGCAGATTGTCTGCAAAGAGATGTGTAGTAGAGGATGCCTGCTCACCCATCCTCCACCGTATGCCTAACATTCTTTTCTTGTAATGAACTAGAATAAATGTTTGTGGTTATAGGGAATTGGATTGCTCCTGTATAATAATATTTACAAATAAGAATCTCTCATCCTGCTTACTGAGAATTTAGTATTTAGTGTGTTAGTCTTTTTTAAAAAGTTAACCACAGCCCACATAATGAGAACGCCAGCATAAGGAAGTTAGCATCATCTTGGAGTGACAACAGGGGCTGCATCTGTCTATGAGACTGGACACTGTATATGTCCAGATCTCTGCAAGGAAGAGTCATGTCATACTTTAAAGTGTGACTGAGTCACACTCAGAGGGAAGTGTTTTCTTTGTGGCGTAGAACATGGACTGTTTGGAGGGCATTGGAGAGAAACCAAAAGAGTGACAAGTTTTGAGCGCTTGTCATGTGAGAAACTGGAAAGAAAATGAGGCGTAATGCCCTGTCCTTTGGGAGAGGAGTAGGATTGTTTTTGTTCCCCCAAGCAGGTAGAAATAGAAACACTGGGCAGCTGGTACAGAGATGGGTTTTGAGAGGCGCGGCTCTCCCAGCAGCACTGTCTGGCCAGCTGTCTGCCCAAGTCCGGGGGTGTTAGTGTCCTCTGCAGGATTACTGTATGGGAGGCGTTTCCAGGGTGCTGATGTGGACTCATGCCAGAGGTGACAATGTCACCCATCCATGGTGGAAACACAAAAATAAGGACAATTAATGAGCTTTACCCAAGCTATTACATTTTCATCTCTAAGGTTATATTTCCCACACTTTTACTGTTAAGTGTCATTTTATCAAAAGGGTGATTATTATTTAAGTGACATCTCTGTGAATCCTTACATTTTTTTCTTTTTAATTTTATTGCCTCATGAAATCCTAAAGTTTAGAAATTCCTGAGCTAGCTGACGTTTAAGATCTGGGATCCTGGCTGGGCACGGTGGCTCACACCTGTAATTCCAGCACTTTGGGAGTCCAAGGCAAGTGGATCACGAGGTCAGGTGTTCGAGACCAGCCTGACCAACATGGTGAAACCTCGTCTCTACTGAAAGTACAAAAATTCGCTAGGTGTGGTGGCATGGGCCTGTAATCCCAGCTACCCAGGAGGCTGAGGCAGAAGAATCGTTTGAACTCGGGAGGTGGAGGTTGCAGTGAGCTAAGGTCATGCCACTGCACTCCAGCCTGGGTGACAGAGCAAGACTCCATCTCAAAAGAAAAAAGAAAAGATTTGGGATCCCTTTTATCTCTAAATGATTATGATTCCTGACTTTTTTTTTTACATATAAACACTCAGCTGCCGTTAAGAGTGTTCATGATTGGAAATAGATGATAGATGCTGGGTTTGTTCATGTTTAATTACCGAGGTTGAAGTACCTGTCAGAAGGAGTTTATTATAAAAATTGCTCAAGGCAGATGTTAATTCTTCTGTACAGCAGAGTTTTTCTGTTAAAAATTTTAACAACTCCGTCTGAAGTTAAAATGGTATTAGAAAGGATCAAAGTTCACTTACTGCTAATAACTTTAACATAGGTTTAACAGTTCAAACTTTGGAGTCACTAGGCAAACCTGAATTAGTGAATTCAATCCCAGTTTTATGACCGAAGGCTGGGTCTTACCTCTCAGAGCCTATGTTGACTTCTCTGTAAAACATGAATAATACCGCTTTACAAGATATTGTGATGACTAAGTTAAATACTCTTTGCAGCAACTTAGCAAAGAGCTTCACAGTAAGTTCTTAAGAAATGCTAGCTATTATTGTTATTACCACTTGCTAGAATTTTTATGGACACGACTATAGATGATTTCTAAGATGTGGTCTGTGCACCTAGGATATCTGTAGTACTAGAATATGTCAAAAGTTTACCAAAAAAAAAAAAAAAATTGACTAAAGCTCTAATAATCCGGGCCTGAGTTTGCTGTGTAACCTGGAATAAATTATCTGAATGTATTAATGGATATTTTGCCTGGCTCTTCCATTAGTTTTATATAATCTGCTTTTATATTGTTCATCAGAAATATGCATTCCTTTATCAGAGAGAAAGATTATTTTCATTATCTATTTCTAGTACAAAATAGGTAAAGAACATTTTTTTCCTACCACTTAAAATATTAAATGGAAGATCATTCAAGTATATTTCTTTTGAAAACAAGTAATTGTTATGCCATTTTTAAAAAGGAAAAATGCAGCATTGCTAAGAATTGACCCAGAATGCATTTCAATCATAATACATAGTTTACAAAATAACTGAAAACAAGCGGGCTCTAATTTAACAGTTCAGCAGATGGTGCTATGCAGATTATTATGTAACTGATAGCTTTTCTGACATTTGCAAGTGACTAATTTAAAACACTGGTGTATTATTTTAACTCTCCATTATGTGGCAGAGTTACTGTCATATTGAATATTCAAAACATACTATTTCATTCATAGAAACTTGTGCATCCTCAAGTTTTCCTCACAAGTAGAGGAGTTTAGATTCACATCAACCAGTATTAATTTCTGGCCACACCATGTAACTGGGACAACCACTTTATTCATCTGAATACAATGGTAGTTGTACAGTTTATCTGAATACAGTGTTAGTTGTATTATTATCTCAAGAAAATAGGTGGTAATTTGATAGTACATATAAAGGCCTTATTTGCAGTTCAGCAAGTATATATTGCTGTTGATATTTGTTTTATTGTTATTAGTAGCCATTCTGTTAAAAGCTGTATATTTTCCAAAGTTTTTCCAAACTCTTTCTCTTTGGTTACTGAAAATCTCAGGTTTTTTCTAAGCCATATTTATCATATTCTTAAATGTGATGTCTAACTCTGTTTCCTAGCGTTTGACAGACATGATGAATCTTCCATGTTGTATAGTCCACAGATGGCATTTTTTGATACTTGGGAGTTCTAGTTTCCACTCACAGGTCGATATCAAACTCATCTTCAAACCTTAACCATGAATCTTCATCTTTGCATTTTATTTAAAATACAATTTGCAAATTCAAAAAGTCACATGTGTTAGTTGGCTAGTATTCATTCTTGGTTTTTGCTTATCTTGTGCATGATGCCAGCCTTACCACTGGGTATATTAGCTCATTTCAGTGCATTTTTTTCTTTCTTTCTTTTTTTTTTTTTTTTATAATGAGACACTATACAAAATTAAAATGGGGAAAAATGACAGGTTGAGACTATTAACTTAATTACAGCAATGGAAGATTTTCCAAATCCTAATTTGAAACATTAGCAAGTAGCTTTTTAAATATCTGAGGCATTTGCAGTTTTAATTTCACTGTACTTTAGGTAATTTAAGATTGATTTCCTATTGATTAGTAAATAGAAATCCATCTGATGATCTCCGTTTCATTCTTGGCAAAGCCTTGCTAGTTTCAGAAATTAGGAACACAGTGGCCCAGCACCTGAGAGGCTGTTGTGATCCTCCTGATTTGCACTTTTGTACAAAGGTAAAGATAAGACACCTGTCAGAAAGAACCACGTGTACTTGCCAGAGGAAGTACTTTTTAGAAATCTGTTTCCTTCTTTATGAACAAAAGCATGTTTTTTAGAAAGAAACAACACTGAAATAAGGATGTATGGTGCTTTTTTTTTTTTTTTAAATAATGTTTTAAATACATGGCCCAAATAAGATACATCAAGGCCTGTTTAAAGTACAGGCTTGACAACCACCAAAGCAGCCTCCACAGGGTGCTATGTAAGAGGGAAGCACTGCATAGTACGTGCCTGAGCTAGGACATAGCCAAGGGCTCACATGGAGGATGGTGTAGAGATGCATGCCATGTGCAGCAGGTGGCCAGGCACTCTGGCTGTTCTTGATCCCCTTGCACGTGGCTTCTTTTGAGTTGTGTGTATCTCATCTTCTTCTGGAAGTTGGATTGAAACCTGACTAAATGTGTCAGTTTTCCTTTTGAATGTATATAATTTAAAAAACAAAAACCTTTCATTATTGGTGTGTTTTTCTTTTCCTCTTTTTTCAGGCAGGTAACTTACAGACTCACTTACGACGACACTCTGGTGACAAACCGTACATCTGCGAGATCTGTGGAAAGAGGTCAGTGCTGGGCATGTTCTTCTGTGTGGAAGGGAGCCTGTTGAGTCTCAGTGTCTCTGGAAGTCAGTGTCCTCCGAAGCGGTGGCTCACAGATGAGCCACATGTGGGCTGACTCTGCCACTGCAGAAAACAGGTTAAATTCAAACCTTCTGGCTTTACACATGACACATAAGAGAATAATAAAAAGAAACGTTAATTCAAAGAAAGAAAATCTAGGACAGGAGCCCCAAAGAGGATATGGGGCTTTATGTGGAACAAAATTATTTTATACTGAAATTTTCATTCATTCTAAAAATGTCTCTGAAAATATAATAGATTAATGCCCCCAAGGAGGTGACTGTCTACCAGGGGAAATGGGACTTGCCAGCTAAGCGACTAGATTTCAGGAGACAAGGAGGTGGTGGAAGGTGCCACAAGCCGTGGGCCTGTAAGAGCTTGTGAGAGTTCCGTCCCTGGGAGAAGGGAACTGAGTCTTTCTGGGCGGGTAGGATTTTGACCTGGGGAAAGAATCTGATCCTTGAGATGGAATAAAGTGCCTGGCAGTTGGAATTCTCTGCACCGTGGTGTAAATGAGGAGGTCCTCCCTGCTGTGTGTGCAGGTGGCACCCTGAACCCCCCTTCCCACCCTTGGCTATATGTCAGTCAGGCCTCGTACTCCGTCATCTGGTGGTTGTGCCAGAACAACAGGCGTCAGCCGGGACTACACTAGTCACGAAGCTCTGTGCGCACTTTGGCTATGTAGCTTTTACATTCATTTATTAATCATTCATTGATTCAGCATTTTTTAGATGCCTGCTGTATGCTAAGTGCTATATGGGACCATAAAAATAAACAGTACAGGCCGGGCACAGTGGCTTACGCCTGTAATCCAAGCACTTTGAGGGGCCAAGGCGGGCGGATCACCTGAGGTCAGGAGTTTGAGACCAGCCTGGCCACTGTGGCAAAACCCCATCTCTACTAAAAATACAAAAATTGGCCAGGCGTTGTGGCACACATCTGTAATCCCAGCTACCCAGGAGGCTGAGGCAGAAGAATCTCTGGAACCCAGGAGGCAGAGGCTGCAGTGAGCCAAGATCGCACCACTGCACTCCAGCCCAGGCGACAGAGCAAGACTCCGTCTCAAAAATAAAAATAAAAATAAATGGTCCAGAGTGTCTGCCTCTTACAGATTCATACTGAAGCGTCTTGGGGCAAGAGATAGTCATGGGATGAATTAGAAATCAGAGTCCTCACATTCAGTGTCAGCACATGCTGGGGAAAGCCAAGGAGGAAGCGACTCTAGATTCAGTTTCAGGAAAACTATTGTCTCTGCCAATGATAGAAAGCAAACAAAAGCTGCAGAGGGCAGCACATCTCCCTTTCTGCTATAGCTACCTGAACACTGAAAGCCAAGTTCGGGGCCCAGTATCATCTGCTGCCCACTGCCCATTCCAGATGCCGAGGAGCAGAGGCCTCCTGCAGCCTCAGATGGTGTCACTTCACTGCTAGTCACTGCGTGTCTTGTTTTGCATGGGGTTTGAAATCTGAACCTTCTGAATTCCATTTCGGAGTAAGGCATGTGCTTATTTTTTATTTATTTATTTTTGAGACGGAGTTTTTGCTCTTTCACCCAGGCTATAGTTTAGTGGCACAATCTCTGCTCACTGCAACCTCACCCCCTGGGTTCAAGCAATTCTCCTGCCTCAGCCTCCCAAATAGCTGGGATTACAGGCACATGCCACCGCTCCCGGTTAATTTTTGTATGTTTAGTAGAGATGGGGTTTCATCATGTTGACCAGGCTTGTCTCAAACTCCTGACCTCAGGTGATCCACCCACCTTGGCCTCCCAAAGTGCTAGGATTACAGGTGTGAGCAACATTGCCCGGCCAAGGCATGTGTTTAAAACCAGGTCTATACGCAGCATCTTCTTCCAAATGTAACATACTCTGCTATCAAGCATAGTGGAAAGTAAAGAATATAGATTTCCGCATCTGAGGGCCTGGGTTGGAATTATTGTCTAAGGCAAGTTAGTAACCGTCTCTGAACTTGGTTTTCCCATCTGGAAAATGGGAGTGAAAATGCCTGCCTGGCCGTGTTGAGGAACGATTAAGTGGGATAATGGTTGTTAAACACGTAACTGGGCCAGACGTGGTGGCTCACATCTGTAATCTCAGCACTTTGGGAGGCTGAGGCAGGATGATCGCTTGAACCTGGGAGGTGAAGATTGCAGTGAGCCAAGATCACACCATTGCACTCCATCCTGGACAACACATGAGACTCTGTCTCAAAAAGAAAATGTAACTGATCATCTGCACAGAGCATCTGCTCAGTGAATGCTGGTTCCCTTTCTTCATTTAGTTCCCTTGTTCTCAGTGTTAGGACTGATAGGTGTAAGTCTCTGCTGTGGCTCAGAAAGACAAGAGCTTATTTTCTGGGGATATTCACAGTGGAGGGTGATGGCCATGCATCTTGGTCCCTGAGACTCTGAGCTCCTGTTTGCATTTTATTTTATAGTGAAAAGAGCCAGGGTTGCACGTGGCTAGACCAGGGCAGAACTCACTCCGGGCTCTCTCAAAGTCATCCTCCTTGGGTTGGCAGCACCCAGCTAGAGTCTCTCCCACGAGACCCCAGGAACCTTGGCAGAACTGCAAGGGTGGAAGGGGCACTTGGCTCTGAACTGTGCGACTCCGTTTTTACTCTCTTCATAGCCCCTGAGGCAGTGATGCTAAACCATAGAGCACCTGGTCTTGCACTCTATAAAACTGAGGAAGAAAGTGTAATGAAATCAGGTAGAAAATAAATGCTTTAAAAACAAGACACTTGCATCATGTTCTGCTTTCCTTAAAAAAAAAAAGGATTTTTTCAGTGCATATTTCGAATGAAACCAGTCCAGTTCAGATGCCATTCTGAACAGTGTCAGGAGCAGATATTCCTCCCTCAGTGAGCTACAGTTATAAAGGCCCACAGTAATGTAGAAAGGCTCTTAATTGACTTTTCAAATTACGTTCTAGGTTTGCAGCCTCTGGCGACGTCCAGCGTCACATTATTATTCACTCAGGAGAAAAACCACACTTGTGTGACATCTGTGGTCGAGGTACAGCTGAGTGTTTTCCTATTTTTCTTGAAGATTTCTGATTAAAATGTTCTCTGTCCTTCAGCTTAACACCTGTTATGGTCTCTCTAGGGTTTAGTAACTTCAGTAATTTGAAGGAGCACAAGAAGACACACACGGCTGATAAAGTCTTCACCTGTGATGAGTGTGGAAAGTCTTTTAATATGCAAAGGAAATTAGTAAAGCACAGAATTCGGCACACGGGGGAGCGGCCTTACAGCTGCTCTGCCTGCGGTGAGTTTGGGTTTCCGCCTGTCCCCTAGTCATCCGTGTGTGGGAAGGGCTTCGCCCCCCAGCCCTTGATTACGTGTCTGGGATGAGCCCTTTGTTTTTTCTGAGGTGAAATGGGAGTAGTGCTGTTTTATTTACTGCCTCAACATGATCTCTCGTTCGTTCCTTCACTTGTGTGTCAGGCATTTGCTGCTTGTCTTTGAGGTATTAGGAACTGTCCTAAATGCTCCCAATACAAAGGTGACTAAGACAGAGTCCCAGGTGCTGAGGGCTCATGGTCCAGATGGGAAGAGGGAGAGTGGGGAGGGAGCAGGACGTGCAGCTGCACATGAAGAGAGCGGCCCAGGGCTGCAGAAGGGAGGTCCTGCCAGAGCCTTAGGAGGACATGCCGGGGTCAGGGTGGGCTTCTTTAGACCCCAAACTTACAGAGCAGAGGCCATTCTTGTGGGCACTTGATGGTTCATTCTGAGCATCCGGGAAGGAGAGTGGAAACCTGGCAGCCCTCAGTTTCAGGCACCTGACCACTCCGATGAGGACATGGAGACTCGGGGTCAGGTAACACATGACCCATGATGACAGTGCTGGAGCCAGGATCCCTACACACATGGCCTCTAAAGAGGAAGTGTGTGTACCCATCACAAGTAGTTGAGGTGCTTGTTGAATCATGGGCAAAAATATGAGTGACAGCAACTTTGATGATGATGTGTTTAGACCAAATAAGAAACAGCACAGAGTCCAGCTTAGGGAGCCTGGATTCAGGGCACCATTCGGAGGGGCTCATTCTGATTGTAGCTGGAATCCGAAACCGGCAGGACTTCTCCATGTAACCAGAGGAAACCTGGTTTCTGTCCCTCCATTTAAATTGTACACAGATCTTCTGGATACAGATTTAGGCAACTCCATGACCATTCTGATGACTCTTAGAAAGTGAGATTTCATCACTTTAAATCACTAACGTAGGAGCCTGCCGTGGTGGCGTGTGCCTGTAATCCTGGGTACTGGGGGCGTTGAAGCTGGAGGATCTCTCAAGCCCACGAGATCGAGGCTGCAGTGAGCCGAGGTCGCACCACTGCCTGGGTGACAGAGCAAGACCTTCATCTCAAAGAATCAGTAATGTAGTCTCAAATCACTGATATAAAATATCAGTTCTAAATAATTATCACAGCTGTGAACTTGATTTAAAGGTAAATTTTCTCCTCCCTCCCCAGCTAGGCCTTGCTACTGCTCAGACCCCTGCAATGGAGACAGCAGAGTAGGCCCTTCTGTCCTCTCCACCCCGCTTAGGGTTCTGCCCTTTGCCTGCCTCACTAACTGTGGTTTCCCAGCCTGACAAGGTCAGCTTCGGGGGACTAGGGGAGAGCTGAAGAGAGCAGGAACGTTATGTGACAGGGTCAATTTTTTAACAGCTTTGAGACAATAGTGCCATACCATAAAATTTACCAATTTCCAGTGAACAATTCAGTGGGTTTTGGTAGTTTGACAAAGTTGTGTAACTCTCACCGTGGTCTAATTTCAGAACATTTTCATCACCCCAGAAGGAAGCCCTATACCCAGTAGCAACCCCACTCCCAGCCCTTGCCCCTGGCTGCCACTCCTCTAGGTTCTGTCTTTGTTACTACTTCTAGACGTTTCCTGTGCATGGACTCATACAACATAGGGTCTTTTGTAGTCGACTTCTTGGACTCAGCAAATCAGCTGTAATATCCATGTACAAATGCTTGCGTGGGGGTGTGTTTCCATTTTCTTGGATCTATAGACAGATCGATGTCAAGAGGGCTGCACGTGCTGAGCGTTTCAGTGCTGGAAACTCACAGGCTTGCGCTCTCGCTCTCATGCACGCCTGGGCTTCATGGTTCTTCTCAAATCTGCCTTCCCTCTCATCTCCCAGCATTTCACTGCACTTTCCAAGAGGCAGGCCTGCACGCAGCCATGTGTGTTCCTCCAGCTGGCCTCTTTCCTGGCTCCCTGGGTTTATTAGCCACTTACTATAGGGAGGGTTTGCTGGGCTTTCACTGCCCTTCAGGCATCCTCCCTGGCTGATTCCGAGCAGCTCCAGCATGCCTCTTGTCCAGTGGATGGCAGCACTCAGGCCTGATTCAGGGACCTGCAGGCCCACAGCAGTATGGCACCTACCCGCCTGTCCCCCACTAGACCTACTGTGCAGGAGGTGGACACTGTTCCTCTGTGCCCTCCTCACACCAGGACACAGATGGAGCCAAGCTTCTCTCTACTTGAGAGATGAAAGAGAGACAACCCCCTTCCCCCCTTTCTTGGTGGGAATTCTATCACGACTAAAAATTCTACATATTAAGGATGCTAAAAGTGGTTGTCCCATCTTGTTCAGTAATTTATTGAGAATTTATCATGAGGAAACGATGTAAAGAAAGATAAAAACTTGGCTTGGCGTGGTGGCTCACACCTGTAATCCCAGCACTTTGGGAGGTCAGGGTGGGCAGATCCCACCTAAGGTCAGGAGTTTTAGACCAGCCTGGCCAACATGGTGAAACCTGTTTTCTACTAAAAATACAAAAATTAGCCAGGCATGGTGGTGTGTGCCTGTCGTTCCAGCTGCTCAGGAGGCCGAGGCACAAGAATTACTTGAACCTGGGAGATGGAGGTTGCAGTGAGCCAAGATTGTGCCACTGCACTCCAGCCTGGGCAACATAATGAGACTCCATCTCAAAAAAAAAAAGAAGAAAAAAAACCTTATGTTAGAGCAGCAAACAGTTGGAAGCAGCCAGCATGTGCAGCAGTGAAGCTTCTAGTTCACAGAATACCGCACGTCTGAGTAAAGTGTGTGCTGTAAGGACCACACGGAGACTAAATATGTGTTCACTCTAGTGTGAAGGAGCCTGAGCCTGACGTTGTGGGCAGAACACAGACGTGAAAGCACAAAGGCAAAGGTCACTGTGATGTGTTGCTGCAGTGTTTTGGTTTTTAAAATTTTTTTGAGACGGGGCTCTTTGTTGCTCATGCTGTAGTGCAGTCGTGGTGGTGCGATCACTGCTCACTGCAGCCAGGCGATCCTCCCGCCTCAGCTGCTGAGTACGGGGACCACAGACATGCACCACCACACCCAACTAACTTTTATTTTATTTTTTGTAGAGATGAGGTCCCACTATGTTGCCCAGGCTGGTCTTGAACTCCTGAGCTCAAGCAGGTCCCCCGCCTCAGCCTCCCAAAGTGCTGGAACTAGAGGTGTGAGCCACCTCACCTGGCCTACAGTATTTTTTATATGGAAAATGTGCCCAAAGTTTAGTGCATGTAAGCTCACATCCAGTTTGATTATTCAAGGACTTTAAATAACATACCCTGCCCATTGCTTGACTGGAGCTAGATAGCTGAGAATTGAAATGTAAAGTGAAAAGTTCTAAATATTTATCCATGTAAGTTGTGCAGCGCATTCTTAGCTAGTCTGTGGCCTTTTAAGGTTATGTGCTGAGTTACTTCTCATCTTACCTATTCCCGTGGTGGAGCTAGATCCCTTCCCTTTCATATTCACAGAGAAAGGAAATAGATCCTGGAGAGGAATGCATAAAATGTTGTTAAAAGCTGAATACAGGGCCAGGCGCCTTGGCTCATGCCTGTAACCCCAGCACTTTGGGATGCTGAGGTGGGTGGATCACTTAAGGCCTAGGAGTTCAAGACCAGCCAGGCCAACATGGCAAAACCTCATCTCTACAGAAAATACAAAAATTAGCCTGGTGTGTTGGTGCATGCTTGTAATCCCAGCTATTCGAGAGGGTATGACATGAGAATTGCCTAAACCCAGAAGTGGAGGTTGCTGTGAGCTGAGATTGCACCACTGCGCTCTAGCCTGGGCGACAGAGCAAGACTCTGTCTCAAAAACAACAACAAAAACAAAAGCTGAATACAGGCCGGATGTGGTGGCTCACACCTGTAATCCCAGCACTTTGGGAGGCTAAGGTGGGCAAATCACTTGAGGTCAGGAGTTCAAGACTAGCGTGACCAACATGGTAAAACCACATTTCTACTAAAAATATTTAATATAAAAATTAGCCAGACAGGGTGTCAGGCATCTGTAATCCCAGCTACTCAGGAGGCTGAGGCAGGAGACTTGCTCGAACCTCAGAGGCAGAGGTTGCAGTGAGCCGAGACCACACCACTGCACTCCAGCCTGGGTGAAAGAGTGAGACCCTGTCTCAACAAAAAAAACACCCGAGTACACAGACACCTTTAGAAAAGATGTTTCTGAATTATAGATTGGCTGTGTTAGATTTAGGAACATGTCAGTGAAACTGACGAGGAGAGCTGTGGTTTCTCAGCACGGGCTTGGCAGGTGCCCAGGGTACCCGTGTGCAGGGAGACTCGGTGAGAATCAAAGTCTCACACTGAGACACTCCAAACCCAAAGGCTGTTCATTGGAGGGGTCCGCAGCTGGAGAAGCACCTCCCACAGGAACGGAAAGCCTTCCAGAGTGAGCAGGAGCTGTGAGGTGACCCCCTCTCCTCAGATCAGGGTTGTTCAGTGTCTTAGGAGGGAGGGGAGAATCCTTCCAGAATGGCTACTGTAAAAACATCTTTTTCCAGCCTGGGCATCACCCTATCTCTACCAAATGTATATGTATATTAGCCAAGTGTGGTGTCATGTGCCTGTAGTCCCAGCTACGTGAGAGGCTGAGGAAGGAAGATTGTTTGAGGCTAGGAGCTCAAGACCAGCCTGGGCCACATAGCAAGATCCTGTTTAAATAAATAAATAAATGTTTTTCTTTTTCCAGGGAAGTGTTTCGGGGGATCAGGTGACCTCCGCAGGCACGTCCGCACTCACACTGGGGAGAAGCCGTACACGTGTGAGATCTGTAACAAGTGCTTCACCCGCTCCGCAGTGCTCCGGCGGCACAAGAAGATGCACTGCAAAGCTGGGGACGAGAGCCCAGACGTGCTGGAGGAGTTCAGCCAAGCCATCGAGACCTCCGACCTCGAGAAGTCTCAGAGCTCAGACTCTTTCTCCCAAGACACGTCCGTAACGCTGATGCCGGTGTCAGTGAAACTCCCCGTCCACTCAGGGGAAGATTCTGTGGCAGAATTTGATAGCCACTCTGGCGGCTCCTATTGCAAGTTACGGTCCATGATCCAACCTCATGGAGTTAGTGACCAGGACAAGCTGAGTTTGGATCCTGGTAAACTTGCCAAGCCCCAGATGCCGCAGACACAGCCTCAGGCATATGCTTACTCGAATGTGGACTCCTCAGCCGGTGGTGAGCCACTGCAGGCGGATGGCATGGCCATGATCCGCTCCTCTCTGGCTGCTTTGGACAACCACTGTGGTGACCCCCTGGGTAGTCGAGCATCTTCCACCACTTACAGAAACTCAGAGGGCCAGTTTTTCTCCAGCATGACCCTCTGGGGGCTAGCGATGAAGACACTGCAGAATGAAAATGAGTTAGACCAGTGATGGACTGCACTTCTCCACGGTGGAGGCTTGTTCTCAGTTTGGCAGGCTGGTATCAAGCCTGCAGGAGGGCTAGGCCCAGTGGCTCACGCCTGTGTTCCCAGCACTTTGGGAGGCCAAGCAGGTGGATTACAAGGTCAAGAGATCGAGACCATCCTGGCCAACATGGTGAAACCCTGTCTCTACTAAAAATACAAAAATAAGCTGGGCATGGTGGCGTGTGCCTGTAGTTCCAGCTACTCGGGAGGCTGAGGCAGGAGAAACATTTGAACCTGGTAGGCAGAGGTTGCAGTGAGCTGAGATCGCGCCACTGTACTCCAGCCTGGCGACAGAGCGAGACTCCATCTTAAAAAAAAAAAAAAGGACTGCAGGAGGACCCAGTTTCTCCATGACTGTTCCTTCTAACTAGCCAGAGAAGAGCTAGGTTCCCTCCTGGTGAAGGCTCATAATCTGAAGCATTTTGAGCTGGGGGTTTGGGGAGGAGGGCCTCCTGGCTCATCATAAGGCAGCTGCGGGAGGGAGTGCTGACGTCACTGAAGCCAAAGCTGTCTCAGCAGCTTCAGCTCGAGGGAGAGTGCATGTGTCAGCTACTGTACATGTTGGTCATGTTAAAGGAATTAGATATGTATAATATTACAAATATTTTTGCATTTTTACAAGATTGAAATTTGTAGCATTTTATATTAAGTATTCAACAGAATTTATTTGTATATGAAACTCATACCATAATTTAATTTGAATAAATGAAGTTTTTCTATATAATATGTTTCCTCTAGCATTTTTATTAATCTAAAGACTATAGGAGTATAAAAATAAATAGCAGCGAGGACTCACCCTGCAAGGATAAGAGCCGCATCTGCCGGCCTGCCCTCCTGGTACAGCAGGTTTCTGAGTGGTCGGAACAGCCTGACTCCTGGCTGCCACTCACCCTCTCAGGATCTTCCCTGGGGTTTCTTTTTTATAGTATGAGAGGAACATCTTCCAGCGTTTTTACAAGGCTTGACTGTTATCGTCATCCACCTGAAAATACCTGCCCAGGGCCTGGCCCTTGAACAGGCTTTCTAAATATGTACTTCCCCTTCCCAGCGGGCTTGACGGTCTTTGCGAAAAGATGTGTTCATGGCGCTGACGTTAGAATATCAAGGTGAGATTGTAGAGGGGAAGAGGTGGCAACCTTGCGGCACGTCACAGGCGATCTGCTTATGGCACTGCCTGTACAGAGGACTGTTGAGAGCACCCTTGAATACTCATAAGCAGCTCTAACTCAGAAGTACAAGGTACCCAGCAAGAGACCAGTGAGGAGGCGAGGCTTTTCACAGAAGAACATCACAGTTTCAGAGTAGGGTATCAGCCCTAAAGTCCATTTCAGGTGCATTTCCTGGCTTTCCAACCATCAGCTGCGCTGTGGTCCTGCAGGCTGGCTCAGCAAGCATCTGTTATCCCCGCTGTACATGTGAAGTAAACTTGGAACGCAATGGCTGCACACGAGGACCTTCCCCTTCCTCCCCGTGTCCTCCTCTTATGGCCTCCTCTGGCTCCTCCCTCATCCCAACTCCCGTAGCTCTTCAGCCTCCCAGCACCTACAGCCCATCCATCCCATTGGCTGTCGCTGTGGACCCCCCTTGGCCATCATTCACCCACCGAACCCTTCATCCATTTGACATGGTGACCCTCCAGCACTATCCACAGGGAGCACAGCCAGGCTGGTGAGAGACAGCCGTTCTCCAGTTTCTACAGCTCTCCTGAGCCCTCACCATCTCCTACAATCCCCTCTCCTTGATCCAGGCCACGTGCTGCCCTAGATGCCTGTGTCACCTCTTCTCAGACCTCTGCAGCTCACCTGTCCTCCTGTTTATGGCCTTGCTTCCTATTTCTCTCAACCTAGAAACTAATAGGGGCCGGGCACAGTGGCTCACACCTGTAATCCCAACACTCGGAGGCTGAGGCACTTGGGTCACTTATGGTCAGGAGTTGGAGACCAGCCTGGCCAACATGGTGAAACCCCGTGTCTACTAATAATACAAAAATTAGTCAGATATAGTGGCACATGCCTAGAGTCCCAGCTACTCAGGAGGCTGAGGCAGGAGAATCGCTTGAACCTGAGAAGCGGCGGCTGCAGTGAGCTTGCACCACTGCACTCCAGTCTGGGCAACTGAGCAAGACTGCCTCAAAAAAATAATTTAAAAACAAGAGGTGGGGCATGGTGGTTCATGCCTGTAATCCCAGCACTTTGGGAGGCCAAGGTGGGTGGATCACCTGAGGTCAGGATTTTGAGACCAACCTGACCAACATGGAGAAACTTCATCTCTACTAAAACTACAAAATAAGCCAGGCATGGTGGCATGTGCCTGTAATCCTAGCTACTTGGAGGGCTGAGGGAGGAGAATTGCTTGAACCCAGGGGGAGGCAGACGTTGTGGTGAGCCGAGATCACGCCATTGCACTCCAGCCTGGGCAACGAGGGAAACTCCATCTGAAAAAAAAAATAATAGGAAAGAACGTTTCTCAAGCTCGCACTGCACCTCCCTACCTCCCCGTATGTATGCCCGTGGACTCTGCACCTTCCCATCTAAAACCAGCCTGCCCCAACCCCTTGATTTCCCACCCCTGCTTTTTCTCACTAAGTCTTGTTCTTACCATCTGACCTACTTACTATATATTCTTCCTCCATTAGGATGTAAGGTTTTGTTTTTTTTTTTAAACAGAAATAGAGTCTCATTATGTTGCCCAAGCTGATCTAAAACTCCTGAGCTCAAGTGATCCTCCTGCCCAGGCCTCTCAACATGCTGGGGTTACAGGCATGAGCCACCAAGCCTGGCCAGGATGTGAAGCTTTGTGTCTCTTTTGTTTACCACTGTATCCTCAGTGCCCAGAACAGTGCCTGACACTAAATGCTCAGTAACAAATTGTCAAATGAATGCCTTTGGAATACTTTTTCGTCAAAATACTGGACTTCCTAGATTAATTTTCTTTTCTCCTGAGCCTTGTTCATCAGACGTTTGTCCCATCACTCCACTGAAACACTTTTTGCCCATGTGGCCCACGACCTCTCCACTGCTAAACCCAGTGATAATCCTCAATCCTCATCCTAATGACTCTTAGGCTACATAGGACACTTCAGCAGCAAATAGATTCCTTTTTTGCTCCTTGAAACAAGAACCAAGAGGACCATCCCACTCAGTTTCCCCTTCATGCACAGGCAGCTCAGTCTTGCACTCCTTCCCCTACCCCAACACACATCTTAAAGTTGGGGTGCCCAACTTTAAGAGCACAGGCCCTGGACCTCCTCTCTGGCCTTGCTCTGTCCCTAGGCCATCTCTTCACTGACAGAGAAGGAGCATGTTCATCTTGGACAAACAACTCCACTTTAAGTCCACCTGCTCCCTTTCTAACCTCCTGCATTTCAAGGAAATCACTTCTCTTCTAACAACAAGCAGCCGGGAAGAGCAGACAATAAAACACAGATAAGACAGCTTGGGCACAGAGGGAGGGGGGGAAGTCTCTTGGATAACCACCAAACTTCACCCTCCTATAATGGGTCCCAGTAAAACAGTGAGCCCTAATAAGCACATTCCTTTCCCTTTAGATGCCCTAAGATAAGGAAGCTAAAAGCAGACTCAGCAAGTATGCCTGTAGTTGCAAGATGATGTATAGGAACAGACACAAAAACTCTCCCTCCCAGATAGGCAAGACAAAGAGACACAGAAACTTTCTGAGCCTGTGATAAGCTCTCCCACCCTGAACCCTTAAATACCTTTAGTCTATAAGAGAGAGGGCCTCTGACCTAACTCAGCCAGAAGCCCCTCTCAGGCTTATTCTCCAGAATAAACCTATCTTTGACTGTTGAGCTGCTTTTCGTGTTTCTTTCCTCTTCATTTAACTCTTACACTCACATCGCATAAACTTAAGTACTGTCTGCCCATAACTCCTCCCGGAACTCTGGATTTCTGTCCTGAGCTGCCAACCACTGTCTTCAAGGACACCCCAAACTAAGAGCTTTCAAGACCAAGCTCCTTGTCCTCTCCCCAATTCATGGCCACCTTATTAAATGGCAATCTTGTTCCTCTAGGATTTTTTTTTTTGAGATGCAGTTTCACTCTTGTTGCACAGTTTGGAGTGCGATGGCATGTTCTTGGCCCATTGCAAACTCCGCCTCTCTGGTTCAAGTGATTCTCCTGCCTCAGCCTCCTGAGTAGCTGGGATTACAGGCACCTGCCCCCCATGCCGGGCTAATTTTTTTGTATTTTTAGTAGAGACGGGGTTTCACCATGTTGGCCAGGCTGGTCTCAAACTCCTGACCTGTGGTGATCTGCCTGCCTCAGCCTCCCAAAGTGCTGGGATTACAGCCACTGTGCCTGGCCCTCCTCCAGGATTTTTATTCAGTAAAAGTCCTGAGGGTTTTACTCAGGCTAAAAACCTTAAGAGTGGCCTTACTTCATCAGGAAGCACTTCTGGAGTTGCCTCCTGTATGCCAGGCCCTGGGTTTGCCAAAGGCTCAGAGAACAAGACAGCTAGGCCAAGGTAACAATTTTGAATAAATCTGCTTGATGAGGACAATAATTTGCTCTTGTAGAATAAAACTTTAGGGAATAGCATTAAAACCAAAGCTCTCAGCTGGGCTCAGTGGCTCATGCCTGTAATTCTAGCACTTTGGGAGGCCGAGGCGAGTGGATCACTTGAGATCAGGAGTTCAAGAGCAGCCTGGCCAACATGGTGAAACCCCATGTCTACTAAAAATACAAAAATTAGCCAGGCATGGTGGGGGGCACCTGTAATCCTAGCTACTTGGGATGCTAAGGCAGGAGAATCGCTTAAACCTGGAGGCAGAGGTTGCAGTGAGCCGAAATCATGCTACCGCACCCCAGCCTGAGCAATAGAACAAGACTCTGTCACAAAAAACAAAAACCCCAAAGCTCTTTTCACGTTTCCTGTCTCTTCCTTTTCTGTCCTTGTTACCCCGGCCCCAAAGCCTTAACCTAAAGAAAGAAAAACTCAGAAGAGGTGAAAAGGCTTGGATATGTGTGAATGCAAACGTGGACAGCACAGTATCTGACAGCGGACAAGACCTTGACCTTGTGCTGTACACACAGCATGGGCCATCTACAGCAAGAATAACTCTGTGTGTGTGTGTGTGTGTCCGCATGTGTACACACACCTTTTATCCCAGTCAGGACACCAG